GGCGGGGCCGCGTCCGGCCGGTCGCTTAGGCCTCACGTAGCCTGGGTAGGCTTCACTTGAAGGTAAAGCTAGGGAGGTGAGGCTTTGCGACTTTAATAACGCGCGGCCTCTTGTGCTAAAAGTTGTGTTTCGCGTCGATAGCCTTAAAAATGCTTAAAATATTTTCCTTCACATGAATGATGTTTTTCTTACGGCATCATAACTCTTCTGAGGTGGGACAACGTGAGCACTGAGAGCTTTAGTGTTACAGGGAGAGTGCCATCCACCTCATGTTTGGCAATAGTTTGCACAGAACAAGCTTTATTTTTGGGCGTGTTACTTAATTTTATTTCATTTTACACCAAGGAGACTGGTCATTTTGGCATAGAAAATTGACCCTGCATAGCCAGGTGAAAAAATGGTAAGTATGAAACCATTCCTGCTCAATTTAGACAATCCAGCCAGACCTGAAAACTCTTCCGTTAGTCTCTGTGAGTCCATGACTCCAGAATCATGACTCCAGCACCGTTTGGTTCAAGATGCTTTGCTATTGTGACTGAATACAGTAAGTTTCTAACAGCATGAACTTCTTCAGGAAAGTTGAAACCGCAGTCCTTCTAAAAGATACCTCCTTCTGTATGTGATCTTGGCAGGAGCACAGTTCTCTCTCCTCCCTCAGTGTACGGAAACCATGCCATATCTGTCCATATCAACTGCTTTTCCCGCAGCCCCAGAATTGGTAATTAAGAAGTCTGGGGGTAAGTTAGTAGGGTTGAGCAAAGCAATAAAAGAATAATTATAGGTGTGTGTTGAGTCAGATGAACCCACTGGTCTGTCTTTGGCTGAATCTACTCAGCTTGTATATCCTACCCTACACAGCATGGGTAGGATATACAAGCCCAGTGCTATGTCTCTTTCACTAGTTTGTTTAGTGATGGATTCAGGAAAATCTTAACCAAAAGTTAAAATCACCATTAAGAACCAAGGCAAAAAAACAAATACTGGAATCTAGGTTTAAAAAAAAACAGCTTATTTGTGCTTCTGGCCTGAATATTATTTTTCTACGTGTGGCCCTACGTTAACATTTCCTGATGAATCATCTTCTTTAGCTAGTGACAATATTCCTGTGATCTCAGAGTATCTTAGTTCCCTACCTCACCTAAGTTTAGCCTTGTAATGACTACATCTGATGGGCCAAGATGATGCCTTCTTGTGTAGGCAAATGCCCGCTGTTAGGCAAGATAATGAAAGAGCATTGTTCTGTAAAGATTACACATCAGATGTCATGATTGTGAAACTCTGAGGGAAGAATACATAAGGCTGAAGATACATAAAGTAAATCCTCCAGCTCTGAATCAAACAATTTCATACTGAAGTTGAGAGCCTCTGTCCTCTCTACTTCCCTTTCTTCTGCTCTTCCAGCCTTCTCTGGATGCTAGCTGAGATACTGGGAGCACAGCTGACATTTCACTGAAACTTCTAAGCACTGCTGTACTGCGTTTGATCAGCACTCCACTTAGCACACTGCTAGACAATCTGCACATGTTGCAGAGAGGAACCATTCTCACCAGCACCTTGCCGGTCTGCATAGATATCAGTTGACATGAGTCACGAACGATTTTGGTATATGAAAGGCTGAAGTCATAGATTATGGAAAAACTATAAAGAATATGAAGCCTGCATGAGATTCTTAACTGAAGAGGAAGCAAAAGATGGTGTTTAGAAATCCAGTTTGAACTGGAGCTCAGGAGATGTATGTTCAGTCTCCAACTTGGCTGCAGAGTTCCTGATTGATATAAGGGGATAAATGTAAGCTGTAGGCTTCTCAGTCATGAAGAAAAGAACAGGGCTTTACACAGTAGTCCATCTTCAGGGACCGTGTTATGGGGTCGGAACTTAAGATCAGTCAACATCAGGAGGTTTACCAGGCAGGTGTGACATATTCCGTTTGTTACGCACGTTTAACACCCTATGTGAACATTCTTATTCCACAGGCAGATTGCTTCTTCAGGATTTTACCAGCATCCTTTTGAACTCTGCCTAAAATCTCAATACTGTTAGGTATCTGGAAAATTTTCTAGCTTTTTTGTGGAGAATATTAGGCAACAATTCCTGCATATTTGGCTTCAGTTTGTGAACTCTTAAGACGTAAAGATTGCCTTTGCTTATGTGTTTCATGCTGAATTTGGCCACTGAAACTCTGGTATTTGGTAGGGTGTACAGGAGTTGCTGTAATAAAAATAACAGCACAAAAAGCCCAGGCATAGATACTTGAACAGAACCTAGGTCACTGATACTGAAATATTATTATTGCTTGTACCAGTAGGTGTCCTCTGTCACTGGGATTTTTCATCTAGCAAGAGCATTACCGATAAAATGGAGCATGGACCCCACATGAAGAGATCTACACAGTTAGTGCTAGCTCAGGTCTTTTACATGGAATTACCAAAACACAGCCCAAAAGAGAACCAGCCCAATTAACTTACTATTATGCATGCTTTGATGAGAATGATAGAAAAGTTTGTGGTGCAGATGAGATCATGTTTGGCAGAATTCTGCCAAGTATAATGTAACTATGATACAGCTGCATTGGTCCAGCTTGCAGTAGAAGTAAGAATTGCCTTCAGCATTGAAATGCTGGGGTTTCAACCCCAAGCCCCAAATTAAGGTTGACATATGGGTGATTCCCACAGCCCTTCACAAAGGGGGGGTGAGTTTGCCTTTAGGCTTCCCTCCAGGGTGGGGCCGGCCTTGCAGGGAGAGCCATTGGGTAAAGGAGCCCCAGGTGTCCCGCATTCAGTAAGCAAAGGTCAGGTGTCCCACTGGGGGATAAAAGCTGGGACCACTTGCAGGAAGGGGCAATGTCTGTGAGGTGGATGCACTGTGTAGAGTTCCCTGTTGGGGAAGGACCTCCTGCCTTCCTGGGACTGGGCTCCAGTCAGGTCTGGCTTTTGTAAATGTGGGCTGTGTAGAGATTCAGTATGTGGCTTCCTTGGTCTTATGTGTTTGGCTTGTTGACTTGGTTGTCTCCCATCCCTTCTATGGGAGACTGCATTTCACCATTTATTCCACCCATTGTTGGTCATGCAGTGTTGTTGCTGGGGTCAGTGGGATTGATACTGATTATGTATAATCTGATTGACTTGTTTGTACCCCCAGTGCTCACCCATGTACTGACCCTTTTGTATCAAATACAATTTGGTTATTGGTTCATCTTTATGCTGGCTGTGTCCTTTATGCTAGGCCTAATAATTGGTAAAACAAGCATCAACAAGCTGATTGGTCCTGGTCCAACAGACTAAGTATAGGTGAAAAGAAGCCAGTCATGTTCCTCTTCTTGTTAGCCTTCAGAAGTTGCTTGATTTTCCTATGCCTTTAATTCAGCTGTAAAATGAGATAAAACTTACCAGTCTGTCTAGAACACTAAGATCTGCAAAGGAAAAAAACATATATAAATTGTTTTATCAAGTACACATCAGTAAGGATAAAAGGTGAAAGTTTCTGAGGTAGCAGACGCACAGTCCTTCCATCTCTAAAACAAGCCTAAGTAGCACACTAATTCGCTCAGCACCCTTTCGTGGTAATGAGCTTTTCTATCAACAAGATGTCTCATCATGTTAAAACCATTTTCTTGGAAGTGGCATTGCCATTCTCCATACTAAGTGCCTGGAATAATCTCCACAGCAGGCAAAAGTACTGTTGTCAACTGAAAACTATCCTGTCACCAAAGGGCTGGCTTCTGTGATCGGCAAACACAGGCCTCTGTCTAGGAGGAAAGATCTTGATCTTTCCCTTCGTATTCAAACCATTTCACAATGGGGTTTGATTAGCTGCTGTTCCTGCTATATGCAGAGATCTCCCTTTCTTCCACTTCCCCAAAAGTAAGCAAAATCATTACACCCCAGAAAGGCGGTAGGAACTGTGATTCATTTCATGCAATGTCTCCATCAGTTATGCGGCACTGTCAACACCCAACTATTAACTGAATCTCAAAAAGTAAAGAGACTGGCTTAAAAATGTAAACTGTCAGGCCATCTATATATAAGGTTACTTTCCTTGATTTTATGCTTGTGAGTGTTGCAAACAAGTTGCAGCTGCATTGCATGGAGGTTAGGTTTTCAATTCTTATTTCTACATCCGTAGGTTTAATTGCCTTTAGAAGAAAGCTGAGATTGTCATGCTTTCACTTGACTCTCACCTTAAGTAGCTTCTGTGGTGGTTAAAGTGTTTGAGAGAAAAATGAGTTAAGGAAATAAAACACATTTATAATAGAATCAATAGGGTAATTTGTGATAGCATAATTTGAATATTATAAAATTACTACTAAATTATCATTATGTTGCTTTCTAATCTAACTAATATCCAAAAATTTTACAGTGTAACTATTACATTTTGAAAGCAGATGCTATGGTAATTGCCTAAGTAACTGCAGTGTCCTACTAACAGCATGTATTATTGTTGAATTTTAAAATTCCCTGTGGCTTAGAATGCTATTTATTGTCACAGATTGTAGCGAATTAATTTGTGAAAAAGAATGAGAACAGGAATGTAAAGAAAAATGGCAAGATTTCTAAAAATTGGATCAAGTTCCAACATGGCAACTTTGTGCATGAGAGAACAGAGCAGCAGACACTGGTTTTATTTATTCAGGAAAAATACCATGCTTTGATCTCTCAGCCACAGGTTTAACATTTTAATTTCTTCTTCTGACTGCTATTGCTGGGGAGTGGGAAATGTTATCTGTGAGTTGGGTATGAAACAAAATTGAAGAAAACCCAAACTCAAGAAACAGTAGGTGTGTTCAGTGCTAATTTCCTAGATAATCCCAGATAAACTCCATTACTTTCTACTTACATTGTACATTTTTTCCAAACTGGAACTGTCTTTTTAAACAATGGTGTCCTGGCTTCAGCTGGGATAGAGTTAATTTTCTTCCTAGTAGCTAGTATAGTTCTGTGTTTTGG